GCTTGCTAATGAATGCTTTACCAGCTTTGGTTGAATTGCAAACTATTTGGGAAAGCAAGGCTTAAAATAACAACCATTTGTTCAGCTCCTGATTCACAGACACCAGGTAGTTCTGAACTGGCTCAGAAGGTCTGTGTGTGTGTGGAAAGCTGATTGCCGAATGATGAGTATAGAGGACACCCAACACAAACATCCCATCAAGAGAAACCACGTAGCTTCACCAGTAGGCAGGCTCTTGCCGGGGGTGCCTCGGTTTCCCTCCATGCTCTTGTGCTCCTGCAGGCTAGCTCAGGCCCTCTCACACAGTGTCTGCAGCCAGAATGGGCCAGCTCCAAGTCCCCAAATCTTCATTTCACTCAACATTATCTAAGGCCCTACTGGCCAGTGCAAGTTAGAAGCTGGTAAACAAAGAAATCCCCACCAGTTTTATGGAGACAGTCTCACTATATAGCATAGGATAACCTCAGACTCACAGCCCTCCTAACCCCAGCCTCCCAAGTGCTGGTATTACAGTGTGCATCGCCACATCTGACTAGACCCTCTGTGTGTGTGTGTGTGTGTGTGTGTGTGTGTGTGTGTGTCTGTGTGGTTGATACAGGATTTTACTATGTAGCCTATGCTGGCCTCAAACTCCAGGCCATGATTTTACTCTAGCCTCTTGAATTCTGGGATTGTAAGTGTGTGTGTCACTGCTCCTAGCTTTAAAACTTCTTTCCTTTGTCTGTACTGGGGATCAAACCCAGGGTCCCATGCAGCCTTGGCAAGTGCTCTACCACTGACTGAGCTGCACCCCAGCCCAGCACTTCATATGTGGTGACTAGTAAAAAGTTTCTGGCTAGTGAGTAAAATTCTGCACTCCTCAAGTCCACATGTTTTAGAATAAGTGCTTGAAGGGTCAACTCACGATTCCTTCATGAGCTGGTACTGTTACTGTAACACCTCTTCCTGGTCTGCACACAGGCTTAGCAAGTCACACCGACCCAAATCCATCAAGCACACCCCGGTTAACAGGGCACTTGGCAGCTCAGAGTCGAGGCAGCTCAGGCTCACCAATGCCATTCCTGCTGCATCTACTGAGATATCTCTGCATCCTACACATGACCAAGGCCTGTGGTCCTGACTTTGCTCCACTGAGGCGTTTTCCATGCCTTGAGCCCTTGCCCCCTCTCTTGCTACAGGGTGTCATGCTGCCTGTAGGAGGCTGCTTGGCGTACTGTATCCCTCGGCACCCAGTTGTGTCACCTGTCTACTCAACTTCCAGGAACTGGACATGGCTGAGCATCAACATCCAGAATCCTCCAGCTACATCCTCCAGCGTCACACAAATGACGCTATTGTACTGACCAAACTGACTCCATTTTGGATAAAGTAGCCATCTTAGAAGCTTAGCCATAGTGTATTCCTAGCTCAAGGATTGTTTTCAGAAACCCTGACCCCTTTCCCCCTTACCTCCCAGGAGAATGCTGCCAAGGTCACTTGCTCTCTAGACATATGGAAAACAAAATTATTATGATAGGACTAGCTGATTCTGGCCTCTGTAACTTGCTTGTTTTGCTATTTTAGGGCACCTTGACATGTAGACTGTGACCACCCTCCACCCTGCTATTCAGGACTACCTTGTCAACATTCCTTTTTTTGGTTTTTAGCTTTAAAAGGTCCCCTTTCCCTCTCCCTCCTCACTGCAGCACTCTAATCTGATGTGGTGACTGCAGTCCAAGCTAGCTTGAATAAAATTTTTTGTTCACATCTGAATTTAGTGTGGTGGTCTTTCCAGTAGTCCCGGGGTCCATAACACCATCCCAATAAAAAGCTGCATTGAAGATGTGGGTCTATAGTTTTCTTTCTTTTTTTTTTGGTTGTATCTTTACCTGGCTTTGGTATTAGAGTGATGCTGGCTACATAGAAGGAATTTGGAAGTTCTCCCTCCATTTCTATCTCTCTTTTTTTTTTTTTTCGTCTTTTTGAAGCAGGGTCTCCCTGTAGCCCCAGCTGTCCTGGAACTCACTACGTAGACCAGGCTGGCCTTGAACTCACAGAGATCTGACTGCCTCTGCCTCCCAAGTGCTGGGACTACAGGCGTGCACCACCACGCCCGGCTCATTTAAATCTTTTTTAACAAATTAAGTAGTATTGGATGTAGATCCTCTTTAAATGTCTGGTAGAATTCTGCTGTAAATCCATCAGGTCCTGGGATGTTTTTAGTCGGGACGTTTGTATTACTGTTTTAATGTCCATATGTGTTATGGATCTCTTTAAGCTGTTATTCTCTTCTTGGTTTAGTTTTGGTGGTTCACATGCCTTAGACATCCATCCATTTCTTTTATCTTTTCAAATTTTGTAGCTTATAGGTTTTTAAAGTATTCCCTTATAATGTTCTATATCTTTCTGGTGTCTATTGTGATGTTTCCCTTTTCATCTCTGCTTTTATTGATTTGGAGATGCTCTTTCTTTCTTTTGGTTAACCAGGCTTGCAGTCTGTCAGTATTCTTTATCTTTTCAAAGAACCAGGTCTTGGAATTGTTGATTCTTTGTACTGTTTTATTTGTTTCAATTTCATTAATTTCTGATTTTTGTTATTTATTCTTGTCTGATGGGTTTGGGTTTCGTTTGCTGTTGCTTTTCAAGTGTCTTGAAAAAAATTTTAATTATTATTTTTATTTTATGTGTATAAGTGTTATGCCTGCATGTAGGCAAGTGCACCCATGTCATGCAATGCCCAAGGAGGACAGAAGAGGCTGTTGGATCCCCTGGAACTGGAGTTATGGACAGTTGTTAGCTGCCATGTGGGTGCTGGGATTCAAACTCGGGTCTTCTTTAAGAACAGTGTTCTTCACTGCTGAGCCATCTCTCCAGCCCCTTTCTGATTTTTTTTTTCAATGTAGGCGCTTAGAGCTATAAACTTCCCTCTAAGGACTCCTTTCAACGTGTCCCAGAGGTTTTGTTCTGTTGTACTGTCCTTTTCATTTAGTTCCAGGAATACTTTTCTTTCTTAATTTTACCTTTGACCCATTCATCATTCAGGAGTGTGTTCTTTCATCTCCACGTGTTTATGTGGTTACTGGGGTTTCTTCCGGTGTTGATTTTAAGCTTTATTGCATTGTGGTCTGATAGAATGCATGGAATTATTTCAATCTTTTTGTATTTGTTGAGGTTTGTTTTGTACCCCAGTATATGGTCAATTTTGGAGAAGGTTCCGTGGGGCACTGAATAGAAAGTATATTCTTTGGTGCTTGGGTGGAATATCTGGGAGATGTCTGTTAGGCTCATTTGATGTATGGTATTGTTTAATTCAGATGTCTTGTCTCTCTGTTAATTGAAATCTACCTGATGACTTTATATCTATACTCAGGTGCCAAGGATCCGAGTGTAACTGACTGTGACTAGTTTAATCAGATACATAGAGATTAGAGACACATGTGCAAACATTTAAGCCTTAGCAGCATTAAAAATGAGTCTTTCTGTAGGAAACAGTATATTTTAATGAAATGGAGATCTTTTTTAAAGATTAAAAACTCATTTACTGTTATGTCTTACAGGATTTATACTGAGTTCAATATTGTATAACTGTATTAATTCAACTGTGAACCTAAAAATTTAGAACAACTTTTGAAAGAGATTTATCTTTGCTCTGGAAATTATTATTGAATATGCTAAAGCTGTAATGAAATGCTTCTTTTAATTATGTGGTTATTAAATTTAAAAAGCTGCATTGGTTGAGTGTTCTGTATCTATAACCTTACTGCCCACAGCATCTCACTAACCCTCCACCCCTTACCCCTGCTGAGACAGTGTTAAGTGACTTGCCCAAGTCTTCCAGGTGACTTGTGAGCAGGAACTCTGTGCTCAAGTTCCCCCATGGCAAGACAGAGGTAGAACAGGACAAGGGATGCGCTTCAGAGCTGGAAAGGCTAGGACAACAGCCTCACCCCAGGCATACCCTGGGGTCTGAGTTCTCTACCTGCCTACCAAGGGGTTCAAAGCTGTGCTCAACCCCAGACCGTTCATCCTGTTCTTAGAGCATTTCAGGAACTGTCCTCATTTTTTTATGCCTACTTGGCTTGTTCCCTCATCTAGACAGAAGGACACACATATATTTATTGGCATGTTCCACAGCGCTTAGCAGAGAATGTCCACAGATACTGTATTCATGGTGGTTGGGGAGGCAACCTAACCACCTGGAGGGAAGGACCCTCGTGGGATTGTGGAGGGTAGGATAGGATCCTTCAGTTTAGGGGGACCCTCCCTAGACCTAGGGGAGGGTGCAGCGGAGAGGTCTAGGCTCTTCTGCAGGTCTTGCTGCAATGTACCCTGCCTTTGGAGAAACAAAGCCAGACTCAATTTCCTCTGACCTAAGGCAAACTGGGCCTGGGGGAGGTCCGAGGGCAGAGCGTGCAGGGCCTCGGGGGGGACCAGCTAGTACTGTGACTGGGCTCCAGAGCCCACCTCGCCTTACACCCGCCCTCATCCCGGTCCTCACTCAGCCCTTCCACTGAACTGCTGCACTCACAGCCCTCCTAGCCCCCGCCCTCGCCCCGCCCCTCGCCCCATATTAGCCCCGCCCTATCACGTACAGCCCCGCCCACAGTTCGCCCTGCCTCCCGCGCACCTAGTCCTCGCCCCGCCCCCACACTAGCCCCGCCCACAGAGCGCCCAGCTTCCTTCCGGCTCCAGTCGACAGTAGCCCCGCCCCCTGTTGGCCCCGCCCACGCCTGCAATCTATGGTTGTTTTCGTCCTAGCTCCGCCCCCATCTTGGCCCGCCCACAGGGCGCCCGGCTTCCTTCCTCCCCGGCCCTCTCCGACCCCGGTCTCCCAATAGCCCATCCCCTCCCAGGAAGCCCCGCCCACCATGCCTTCCGGGGCGGAGCCTGGAGGGGGTGGGGCCAGCGTTACCCGGAATGAAAACAAACGGCGGTGCCGCATCCGGGCACTCAGTTGGTCGCAGCGGCCGGGGTGCTGTCGCAGGTGAGGCAACTGTGGCGTCCCAGCCTGGGCTTCGCTGCGTGGCGGTCGGGTCCCGCCGCGGCGAGGGCGGCTGTGGCGGAGTCGGCGGTGCGCAGCGCCGGGCCGGGCCCCTGTGGGCGGCGGTTCCCAAGGCCTGGCGCTGTGGCTGGAGGACCGAGCAGGTCTGCGGCCAAGGCGGCCTCCGAGGCTACCCCGCGGGCGGTGAGCTCTGCCTGTCACTCCCCGGAGCGGGCGACCTGGACCCCCGCAGGCCCAGCTGGGCTCTCCCCAGTGAGAAGCGCGAGTGTGCCCAGATCCGGGCGACCTCCGCGAACGCGGCTCACGCAGCTGCTTCCCCAGGGGACGTGTGGGGCGTGTGTCGCTCCGAGTGCTGGCTGAAGGTTGACGGGGTTGATCCATATCGGAAGGGAAAATGACTTTTTTTTTTTTTTTCTTTTTTGAGACAGGGTCTCCCTGTAGCCCCAGCTGTCCTGGAACTCGCTATGTAGACCAGGCTGGCCTTGAACTCACTGAGATCCGCCTGCCTCTGCCTCCCGAGTGCTGGGATTAAAGGCGTGCGCCAGTGCCCGGCTGGGAAAGTGACATTTTAAACGTTCCACTTTCGGTTTGGAGCTGTGGTGTGGATGGGTTGCGTCTTTTCCGCGTTGTGATGTATGACGTACCTGAAACTTTGAGCTCTCCGGTTAAAATCGAAAACGGACGTATTAAAATTTCTTCCTTTTGACTTGATTTAGCACGTTTGCTTGATTTGTCGTTCTGTTGTGTAGGACTGAAGTCTTGTAAGTTTCGAGACTGCTTTCATTTTTTTCAACGTTAAATCATACGTGGTGTAGGGTTGTGATGATCCTTGCTCCTTTTGTCTGAAGGTGGCTTGGTTACCGTCTTGAAGGCTGTGTTCTCGGCCTTCAAACAGCTGGAGTCTGGTAAATCATCCCTTCCACCCTCTCTGGGAGGTAGCTGTATTTTTCTCAGAATTTCTGTGTCTGTGGTTAAGTAACCTGTGTTTGAAGCGTGAATGTTCCTAGGTGCTCATATATGTGTTTTGCCATGGAAAGGAGTTGTGAATGACTGAAAGCATGTAACTGTTCATTCCATACCCTCATCCTTATGACTCTAGACTTGAGCTAGATTTGAGCTTTGTTTTATTATTTATTTATTTATTATTTTTGGTCTTTTTGAGACAGGGTCTCCCTGTAGCCCCAGCTGACCTGGAACTTGCTATGTACACCAGGCTGGCCTCAAATTCACAGAGATCCACCTGCCTCTGCCTCCCAAGTGCTGGGATTAAAGGTGTGTGCCACCACGCCTGGCACTGAGCTTTGTTTTAAATGCATGGTTATGGAATCAGGCATGGTGGTACATGCCTTTAATCTGAGCACTCACTAGGGAGGTAGAGGCAGATGGAGCTCTGTTAGAGTGAGGCCAGTCTGGTCTACATAGTACATAGTGAGCTCCAGGCCAGCTGGGGCTACAGGGAGGGGAAAAAAAAAAAGAAAAGGATATACTTAAGTCACCACACCTGGCTTCAAAATCAAGTGGATTGTGTTTAGGAGATGGAGCGTATTACCCCTCAATATAATAAAAAAAAATACGCTATATTCATATATTTTTTTTCCCTACTCTGATTTTGGTGGTGGTGGTGGTGTGTGTGTGGTGTAGTGTTTTGTTTTGGCTTTTTGAGACCAGGTCTCCCAGTAGCCCCAGCTGGCCTAGAACTTGCTATATAGACCAGGCTGGCTGGCTTACAGAGATCCACCTGCCTCTGTCTCTGGAGTACTGGGATTAAAGGCAGCACTATCACACCACTCTCTGGAATTCATCTTCTTTAATGAGAAGTGAATAGCTCCCTGCTTTTCCTCACCACTCCTCTGATTTGGCAAACCTTAAAGCACTTCATTACACATGCTGGCTGCCACAGCCTCATCCTTTAATGGCTCGCTAATATGGGATGCCACCATAGCTCTCTCTGTGGCTTGGGCTGCTTCGAAAGAAGTTACCCAGGGCGTGGTGGCGCATGCCTTTAATCCCAGCACTTGGGAGGCAGAGACAGGCGGATCTCTGTGAGTTCAAGGCCGGCTTGGTCTACATAGTGAGTTCCAGAACACTTGGGGCTACAGGGAGACCCTGTCTCAAAAAAAAAAAAAAGTTACATACTGAAGACAAGCAGCAAGGGATAGATACAAAGTGCAGAGTCTTGTGTTGTAGGCAGAAGTCCTATTGGCCAGGTGTTTCACATACCTAGGGCCTGGGGTTTCTCAGCTGTAAAATGATCCAGCCACTGTTGGGTTGAATAGTAGGTATAGATGTGCTGTTGTACTGTCAAAAATATCAAATGAGGGGCTGGAGAGATGGCTCAGCGTTTAAGAGCACTGACTGCTCTTGCAGAGGACCTGGGTTTGATTCCCAGCACCCACATGGTGGCTACGAACCGTCCTTAACTCCAGTTCCAGGGGAATCCGAAGCCCTCTTCTGACCTGCACGGCGTTGCAGGACACGGGTGTACTCACATACATGCAGGCATGTATAAAAATAATAAAATATTTTTTAAAATATCAAATGAGCCAGGCATGGTAGTGCACGCACACCTTTAATTCCAGCACTCCGGAGGCAGCAGCAGGTGAATCTCTGTGAGACCCAGGCCAGCCTGGGATGTTCTACAAATCGAGTTACAGGCCAGCTGGGTCTACGTAGTGAGACCTGTCTCAAAAAAACAAAACAAAAAACCATGTGAGCCAGGTGTGGTGGCTAACCACCCTAGTAATTAAGCATAAAGAAAAATTAGTTTGAACTGTGAACTAGCAATAATAAATGTCTGTATATATGAACTTCTAAATTTTTTTTTAATTTTATGTGTGTGCATGTATTGCCTGCATGTAGGTAAGTGCACCCGTGTCCTGCAATGCCTGCGGAGGTCAGAAGGGGCTGTCGGATCCCCTGGAACTGGAGTTACAGACAGTTGTTAGCTGCCATGTGGGTGCTGGGATTCGAACCCAGGTCTTCTGCAAGAACCACCAGTGTTCTTAACCGCTGAGCCATCTCTCCAGCTCCACACTTCTCACATTAAAGAGCTTACAGCACTAGAATAGCTCACTTATTTTCTTATTTGCACCAAGGTCTTACTCTGTAGCCAGGCTGACCTAGAGCTCAGTGGCCATCCTCCTGCCTCAGCCTCCTTTGTGCCTGGATTAAGGACCAGAGTGGTTAGCCTTTTGAGAGAAACTAGCCAGAGTATGAGAGGATTGACAAGCTGTATATTGAGTTGCTTGAAGAGGCTGATAATGTAAAAGGACTGTCTTCTCTTTTCTCTTTGAGAATAATGTGGGTTAAGAAATAGCTTGGGGCCAGAGGTGAGTGGAGCACTTTACTCCGGTATAATGCCCTGGTTTGATCCCTAGAAATGCAGTCCCCTTCTTTCAGAAGAAACAGGAAAATGTACCCATCCTTGCTACATATTAGCAACGTTGAGATGGACACTGTATCATATGTCAGTTATGAGTGGATACAGAGTAAATGCAGTTTTAGAAGACTGGAGCTAGCTAAAACCATCCTAGCTTAGGTTAACTGGAAAAGAGAGGTGGAGGGGACCTCTACTTCTCTGCAAAGTACCTCAACACTTTGGGTAAGGGATAAAGTGTTTTAAAATGTGATGTAGGTTTTATTGATTACAGTTTTACTTTCAAGGATGGCGCAGAAGAAATATCTTCAAGCAAAATTGACCCAGTTTCTAAGGGAAGACAGGATTCAACTTTGGAAACCTCCATATACCAATGAAAATAAAGAAGTTGGTTTGGCTTTGAAGGTATTTCTCTTTTAACCTGTAAATCATTAGTAATATTATAAATCTCCTTAGTAAATAAGATTCTGAAGTCACCAAAAATTTCCAGGCACAGCTATGCAAATGTTACCTGATTTCCCAGGTAACATTTTTTGTATTATCTTTTCCTAATAATAATGAAGTACTTGAAGCAAATTAATTTATAAAGAGAAAAGAGTCCGGCAGTCTTGGCTCAGGAGTTGAGCCAGTAAACTGAAAACAGGATGTGGCCAGTAGGGATCCCATAAACCCCTTTTAGGCCTTGCCCCTAAAACCTAAGGACACTCCCATCATCTAAAGGTTATATACCAGCTGCTAGAGCCTCTGGGAAACATCAAACTTTGGCAGGCATGTACTGTTTTATTTTATTTACTTTATTTTATTTATTTTAAAGACAGTCTTACTATGTAGCTCTGCCTAGCCTGGATCTCACAGATCTCCCTCCTGCCTCTCCAGCTCTGGGTTTAAAGGTATGAACCACCAGACCTAACTGCATATGCTGTTTTTGATATCTTTTGAATTTGCTTGCTCTGGTTTCTTGACTTGCAAACTAGTGAGACCTGATAAGAAAGGTATTTGAGCCAGGCTTGGTTGCTCCTACATGCCTTTACAGGTGGATCTCTATGAGATCAAGGCCTGTCTGGTCTACATGGGGAGTTCCAGAATAGCTGGGGCCATAGGGAGACCCTGTCTCAAAAAGACTTAAAAAAAAAAAAGTTTGACGCTTTCTATGACACCCTCCAGCCTTAGAGAGGGGAAAGGGGCGGAGCTTGGCTTTGCTCACCTGTGACCAGTGAGTTAGTCAGTCTTGCCAAGTAGCCTGTCTCCATAAAAATCTGTAAATGATGGGCTCTTGAACTTCCAACTCTGAACCCCCAGTAGCTGGGAGGAGGGGTACTCTGTAGGCAGGGGCTCCTCCACCCAAGTCCCCTGCGGGCCTCACATTGTCCCTAAGATTTCTGTGATCCTTTGTATCCTTTGTAGGAAACTAGAGTTGCAGAACTTGTCTTGAGTTCTGTGTCATTAAAGTAAATTTTCAAATCTGGAAGGGGGATGGTGGGAGCCCTGGACTTTGTAGCCAGTTACACAGAGGTGAGGGTAACCTGGAGACTGCATGCTTGGCACCTGGTGCCTGGTATGAGGAGGGTGTTCTATGGGACCGCACCATTGGATCAGGGAATATACCACTGACTGGGTAGCTAGTGTCAAGGGTAGGTTAAACTGTTGGCTACTCAGTTGATGTCAGAATGGCCTGGTACCAGGTGAGAAAAATACTCTCTCTAGGTAATTGTGTGCAGTTAGATAACATTTGTGAGTGGCCTGGCTGCTGTTGGCTTACATGCTATTTTTATAGCAAGGTTTTTTTTCTTTTCTTTTGCTTGTTTGAGACACAGGGTCTTACTGGGTATCCTGAAACTCACAGAGATCCCCCTACCTCTGCCTCCCAAGTGCTGTGATCAAAGATGTGTGCCACTGTGCCTGTTTTCTTTTTTTTTTTTCCTACTTGAAACAGGATCTCACTATGTAGTCCTGGCTGGCCTGGAACCTAGAACTCTCAGCGTAGACCAGGCTGGCCTGAAATTCATAGAGATCTGCCTGCCTCTGCCTTGCAAGTTCTGGCATTAAAGTGTGCACCACCATGCCTGTCTGCACACACTAGTTTTTTATTTACTCTTTTCCTTCTTGTCACCATGGTCCTCCTTTCTGCCCGGTCCTGCCCTCTCCCAGTGTTACTGGTATTATAAGAACAAACTGTTCCCAAAGTCTCGCCTCTACTGAGGCGTCCCTGATACCAAGATCTGCATCTTTGACCTGAGACTTTCTGAAGAAGGCAAAAACGTGGATGCATTCCCACTCTGTGGCCACATGGTGTCAGATGAGTTTGAGTGGCTCTCCAAAGCCCTGGAGGCCACCTGTATTTGTGCCAGCAAGTACATGGTAGGGAGCTGTGGCAGGATGGCTTCATCTTCACATGAGGCTCCCTTTCCACACCTGCATTAACAAGATGCCCTGTGCTGGGGCTGATAGGCCCCAGTAGGTATGTGGGTATCTTTGGGAAGCTCTAGGGTACAGTGGCCAGAGTACACACTAGCCTCGTTGTCATGTCCACTGCACCAAGCTAAGAATAAGGAACATGTGATTGAAACCGTACATCAAGCCACATTCAAATTCTCTGGCCACCAGAAGATCTACATCTCCAAGATGCTGTGGGTCACATGTGTCTTCAGTCATGGTCCCCTGGACAGGTGACCAGCTCTGCACTCCTGAGGACCCATACTGTTCTGAATCCCAACCCTCTGTCATGCTCAACAATAATCTCATATCCAATCTGCCTGAAAACAAAAATGTGTGTGTGTGTTTGTGTGTGTGTATACATGTACAAATGGCCAGCAGCATACATGTGGGGATCAGAGGGCATCTTGCAGGAGTTGGCTCTTTCCTACCATCACGTGGTTCCCAGGAATCAAACTTGGGTTATCGGGCTTAGCAGCAAGGCCTTTACCCAATAAGCCATCTCACCAGCCCTACTTTACTACTTTTTTTTGGTCTTTTTTTTTTTGAGACAGGGTCTCCCTGTAGCCCCAGCTGACCTGGAACTCACTATGTAGACCAGACTGGCCTTGAATTCACAGAGATCCATCCGCCTCTGCCTCCCAAGTGCTGGGATTAAAGGCATGCGCCACCACGCCTGGCTGATGAGCTATTTTTACTATTTATAGGTGTGTTCATTTTTTCCTGGATCCTCTCTGGGAGCCATGATTGATTTAGTACAGTAGGGGACCCCCACTTGGAGCTGCTGCCCCAAGTCCTTCATGCTGTTTGTTTTAGCCTCAGTCCTCTATTGAGCTGCATTTCTTATTTTTTTTTCCTCATAGGACCTTGCTAAGAAGTACTCTGACAGGCTAGAATGCTGTGAAACTGAAGTGGAAAAGGTAATAGAGGAAATCCGTTGCAAAGCAATTGAGCGTGGAACCGGCAATGAAAACTACAAGACAACTGGGATGGCTACAATCGAGGTGTTTCTACCTCCAAGACTAAGAAAAGTGAGTGATCCTCAAGTTTACAGAGACCCACTGTGACATGACCAGATCAGCTGTCTTGTAAAGCCACAAGCAAGCGTTTGTAGGGTCTCCACACGCTGGATGGTGGTGTTGCAGACTTATCCCGGCACAGTTGCAGGGTCAGTTGTGCTTATTCTTGTTCTGTTAGTCACAGAAGCCGGGCATGATGGTGCACACAGTCATCTCAGCACTTGGAAGGCAGAGGCAGGAGGATCAGGAGGTCAAGATCATCCTCAACAACATAGCAAGTTCAAGGCCATCCCAGGCTATATGAGAATCTGCTTGAAAAGCAAAACTATGTCACATGGGCTGGTGAGAAGGCTCAATGGATAAAGGTGCTTGCCACTAAACCCAGTGACCCGAGTTCAGTCCCAGAACCTACATGATAGGAGAGAACTAACTCCCACGAGCTGTCTTCTGACTTCCACACATGGCACTGTGGTATACACACAAGAAATAACTGTAATTTTAAAAATTAAGACTACTGTAGCTGGGCATGGTGGTACACACCTTTAATTCCAACACTCTTGAGGCAGAGACAAAATTCTGTGAGTTCAAGGCTAGCCTGATTTACATAGCAAGTTCTAGACCAGCCTGGGCTTACACAGTGAGTCCTTGTCTCAAAATGAATAGGTGAAAGGCCATGTACTGGATGATCCTGTTTATGTGCTCTCTGAAACAGGCTAATATGCAGATAGAAAATCAATGAATAGTTGCGGGGCTGGGGAGAAAAGAGCAGGTGTGGGGGTATTGGGCAGGGTGCTTATTTGAGGGATGATGAGTGGACATGGTCTGAAATTTGATTGTAATGATCGTTGGCCATGTGATAGACTACCTGGTGTCCCCAAAGGACATTTGCATCATCCTGTCAAGGCTGCACTGGACTGTGTTCAGTAGGCTTCTCCACAGGCACCATTTTGGTCTTTTAATCAGAAACCCAAGTTTATACCCTCTGATAACACCCTCAGAATTTCATACCCAGGGCAGCAGCTCTCTAGAGTGTCATGCTCAGGTACATTTTATATTGTCTCATTTTGCAATAGGATAAGAAAAGCTTGTTGGAGACCCGCTTGCACGTCACTGGCCGAGACTTGAGGTCTAAGTGAGTATCTGTGAGAGCTATCCAGCTGCACCACCTCTTACAGGGGCTCATTGGATCCTTGCTGGTCAGCCTGTAAGCCATCCTCCTTTAATAGAGAAAGAGAAACCTGGGGGTGGAGAGGGAGGTCCATGTTGGGCTCACACCCTAGTGAGAGGGAACCCGGGTCTTGAGACCTGCCCATAGGCTCTGCTTTGATTTAATGTAGTATTGGGACAGGTAAAACTTGGGACACGCCACAGAGGAGGTTTTCTTGAGTGAGTGGTTGGGGAATGGTAGCAGGGGCTGCCTTGTACAGAATGTGTCACATGATTGGCATTCCATTCCTTACTGCACTGATGGTGGCTGTGACCCAGGGAAGGCCAGCCAACCCCAGTGTTTCTTCAGCTGATCTGTCTCATTTCTTTGGCTTCTATCAGGGCAGCTAGGGAATCAGCAACCATTCATTCATTACCCACAAGTAGACAGTGCTATAGGACAACCCCAGCTAGAGGGTCACCAAGGGAACCCCAGAAGATATGGGGTGGATTTCTGATATGTAGCTTAGGCTTTCCTACTCAGGTGGCTAGTCTGTAGTCCTGCTTTATGAGGTAAAAAGGGTAAGACAGTTTTAGAAAAGGCATGTCCTTGCATAATTTCACAAAGTGTAGTGAGCCAGCTTTATTGTTAAGTGGTGTTTACCAGTTGGTAAGTGGAAAGCCAGAGTGTTTCTGAATAGAAAGATTTAAGATGGCTATCATGATCAAAGTCTTCATGATGGATAATGAAGAACAAATTTGCTCTTCTACAGCCTACACTGTGTTTGTTTTATAGAATAGCTGAAACTTTTGGATTTCAAGAAAATTACATCAAGATCGTCATAAATAAGAAACAGCTTCAACTAGGTATGTCTTGGCAAAGAATGCAGAATTTTCTCAGCGTGTAGAAATAGTGACTTTCTGGTTTGTTTGTTTGTTTTTTCCCCTTGCTTTTTCTCTATTCAAAACTTCCTGGCTTTGTTGCATTTATAATCCAAGTCAATTGTTTTAGGAGCTTACCAAAATAAAAATATAAAGCAGAAAACAGCATTCCAGTAACTGCTCACTGCCTGCTCAGTGCCAGTGGGGGAAATTCTCACTGCAATCACAAAATGTCCCAGAATGGAAGTCTGTGATGAGGGAAGGATGGGGTTGCTGGAAGTTCTCTCCGTGGGAAGACAGCTGATACAGGGAACAGAGGGAATGCAGTGGGAGAGGCCCAAACAGACAGGCCACCATGAAGCATCCTGCTAACAGCTGGAGAAGCTGAGCTGGCATCTGAGTGCCAGGTGGAGGGCTTCCTGAGAGTGGGGGAGGGCAGCCAGCAGCAGTCCTCAGCCAGGGGAAATTCTACTGTTCTGGGCATGGTTGACGTCAAGTTTTGGTTACACTTAGAGGCAGGGAGAGGTGGTGCTCCTGTCATTTAGTGAGTCAAGGCCAGAGACCTAATGAAGGGGAGACAGTCCACAGACAACCCCATATCACATCTGTCAGGTTGTGAGGGTTGCTGTCAGGAAGCTTGTGTGGATGAGTCTTGAGTGGCGCTTGTTCTTGGGGAATGGATGCTGCAGAGGGGCCCATGAGCATTGTGGCTTCCAGACCCCTGCCCGTGACCTGAGGGATTCGTGAGTGGAGCTGTGGAGGCATTATCCCTGCAGCAGTTCAGAAATCTGATGGACTTCCAGGGTCCCTGAAGCCTGGAGAATTGAGATGAACATTTCTAAGCTGATGGAGCACAGCCCCTCACAGTCTACCCTCTGTCCCTTCAGCACCATCTTCAATGGTTTCCCTTGTGTATTTCACGTTACAGTTACCTCTATCATTTTTAAAAATATCTTTGTTTTACATGCATGAGTGTTTTGCCTGCATGTATGTAAGTGCATCCTGTGTGTGATGCCTGAAGAGGTCAGAAGAGAGCATCAGATCTCCTGGACCTGAATTTACAAACAGTTGTTACCTGCCATGTGGGTGCTGGGAACTAAACCCTGGTCCTCTGCAAGAGCAGCCAGTGCTCTTAACCCCTGAGCAGTCTCTCTAGCCCTACAGCTGCCTTTTTACTGACATCCTGTCACTATGATCTTTTTGTCCCTTATTTGAGCAGAAGCCCTTGATTTTGATGCTATTGGATCCATTGCCTTGTGTTTTGTTTGTTGAAATTCTTTTCTGATCACAAGACCACAAGGGGAATCTTCACTTGTGTATTAGTGTTGGCCTTTGTCTCTAAATACTAAGGAGCAGCCTGATTCTCCTTCAGGTGTCACCTGATGAGCAGCTAGTACGTGGCTCTCTCAGGAGGGCTCTGTTCTTTCCCGCTTCTGTGGGTTTCTCCTTCCTGTGGTTTTGTTGGAATCTCCATTCGGGCTGGGGAGATGGCTCAGTGGCAAAGTGGTTGCTGCTCAAGCATGAGGATCTGTAGCATTTGCACATACAGGGCGTGTGGCATGCGTCTGTGATCCCAGCACAGTGAGGCTGAGCCAGGCAGATCTCTGGGCTTGCTGCCCAGCCAGTCTAGCTGAAACAGTAAGCTCCAGGTTCAGGGAGAGACACTTTCTCAAAAATACAGGAGGTGGGGCTGCACAGACAACTCAGCAATCAAGAGCACTGGCTGCTCTTGCAGAGGACCTGGACTCGGTTCCCAGCACCCACATGGCAGCTTAAAACCAGTTCTATAACTCCAGTTCCAGGGGCTCCAACCGCCTCTTCTTGTCTCTGGGCATTGCATGTACATAGTGCACTTACTTACATGCAGGCAAAGCACTCATACATGTAAAATTTTAAAATAATTAAGTGGAGGGCCTGGAAAGATGGCTCAGCAGTTAAGAGCACTGGCTACTCTTGCAGAAGACCTGTATTCAGTTCCCAGTACCCACTTGGTAGCTAACAACTGTTGGTAACCCCAGTTCTGTGGGATCCAACACCCTCTTCTGGTCTTTGTGGGTTTGCACACATGTGGTACACCTATCACAAACACTCATACACATAAAAAATAAGAACAAAGTGGAGAAATAAAGATATAATGTGTGGGGCTTCACACACACAACCCCCCATGCACTGCCCCCACATGCACACATTCATAACCCCCTACACACAGTCTAGTCAGGTGACTTCCCCTCTTGCTATTTCTTCAACTGATTTTTTTCAGCCAGATCTTGTTTTATTTAAATGTTAGACTGGCTGTCAGGTTTCTAAAAGGAAGCCCTGCCTGGTGACTTACGCTTGCAATCCCAGTACTTTAGGAAGCTGAGACAGGAGGATTACTATTGAGTTTTGAGCTGGTCTTGAGTTATATAGTGAGTTCTAGGCCAGTTCGGGCTACAGAATGAGATTGCCTTAAAAAGTAAATAAAAATGGAACTGAGCATGGTGGTACAAAGTCTTTAATCTCAGCACTCAGGAGGCAGAGGCAGGCAGATCTCTATGAGGCCAGCTGGGGCTAGAAGGAGACCCTGTGCCACCATGCCTGGTTGTGCTTATGTGCATCTTTGACAGCATTTTGATTAGGTTTGCAAGTTGCATTTGGCTAATCCTCTCATTGGCTGGCTACTTTCCTTTGTTCTGTTCCACTGGTTTCTGCCCTCGTCCTCTTATTTCCACTCACTATGTGAGGAAACCGAGACATGGACGCTCAGAAGGGTGCGAAGGCAGGTGCCACAGCCTCTGCTTTTCACTTCACGGTCAGAGCAGGCCCCTTAGTTGCTATTGTGCCGGGGCCTCCTGGCTGCTGTCCTAGTGTGGATTTGTTTTCTCAGTTAGAAGGTGCGAGAGTTGGCCTGGTTTACCTGCTTGGTTTCTTTTGTGCTTCCTGGCACAGCTTTCAGATGTTTGTTGTTTCATTTGGGTTAGGGTTGAAGAGAAAATCGAAAGGGCGACTTTAGTTGGTTCTGGTTTCACTAGCTGAATTTAAGGCCATGTAACAGTAACATAGTTACACAACCAACTTTAAACCCATTCTTAGCTGTTTTGCAAGTGTAGAATTCAGGTTTAAGAATTCTGTTTACTGGGAGATGCGCATGCCCCCAGAACCCACATGGTTGGAGAGAACTGACTTCTGGAAGTTATCCTCTGACCTACACACACACACATACACACACACAATAAATAAAATATAATAAAAGAAAATTTGTTTACCGTAGGAAATGGACTATTGCCCAGGAAGTTTATGTGATAAGCAGTTCTGCTGTTTCCAGGGAAAAGCCTTGAAGAGCAAGGAGTGACGCACAACGTGAAGGCAATGGTGCTCGAGCTGAAGCAGTCTGAAGAGGACGTGAGGAAAAACTTCCAGGTAGAAGAGGAGGAACAGAATGAGGCGGAACTGAAGGAAAAACAGATTCAGAGGACCAAGAGGGGACTGGAGATCCTGGCAGAGAGAGGTACTCAGAGCTGTGCTCAGCACGTCCCTCAGATCTGTAGAGGCAGCTCACAGATGAGCCCTCATCTTCGGTGGAGCACCTGCCCTCCCCCCAAGTCTAGCATTGTCACTGTCCCTGCTTTGGTACCCTGAATTAATGGGGCTCCTTTGGCTTTGTCGCAGCTGAGATGGTGGTGGATCCGGAAACTATGCCTTACTTAGACATCGCCAACCAGACAGGCAGGTCCATCAGAATTCCCCCATCGGAAAGAAAAGTAAGTGCTAGGGGCACGGGCAGCTCTGGGATTATTGTGGGAACAGAAGGGGTTTTGCTAGATTGTTGGAGTAGGCCCCGTAGCTGCTTAGAATGAAGTGCTCTAGGCATCAAGTTAATTTTAGGGGTCTTGTTTTGTTTTGGAGGTATATTTAAAAGACAGTTTGGTGTGGACTTCACTATTTGAATTATTCTGTTTAAAATTAAGAATTAAGAGACTGGAGAGATGGCTCAGTGGGTGAAAGGCTCCTGTTACTAAGCCTGAGGACCTGAGTTCTGTCCTTGAACCAACATGGTGGAAAGAGAGAACTGACTCCCAGAAGTTGTCCTCTGACCTCTGCACATGCCCCATGGAACACACATGCCCACACGTGTCTTTTTGTCTTTTTGAAGCACGGTCTCCCTGTAGCCCCAGATGTCCTGGAACTCACTATGTAGACCAGGCTGGCCTTGAACTCACAGAGCTCCATCTGCCTCTGCTTCCCAAGTGCTGGGACTACAGGCATGCACCACCACGCCCGGCAACTAAATGTAATTTTTAAAATTAAAAAAAAATCAAGAAATAAAATTGAGGTTTGAAAGCTGGACATGGTGATGCATACCTGTAATCCCAGGCAGGAGAATCAAGGCCAGCCTTGGCTACATAGCAAATTCAAGGCCAACCTGGGATACATGAAACCTCCTCTCTCAAAAACAACAATAATAAAATAAGTGTAAGAAATTGAAACTTTTAGAAAAGTTTTATTTTTATGTATGAGTGTATTGCCTGCATATGTGTAAGTGTACCTGTGTTGTGCAATGCCCACAGAGGTCAGAAGAAGGCATTGGAGCCCCTGGAACTGGAGTTAGGATAGTTGTAAGCCACCATATGGGTACTAGGACTTGAACCCAGGTCCCTTGTAAGAGCAGCCAGGGCTCTTAACTGCTGAACCATCTCTCCAGCCCCAAGACATTGAAGCTTAATACAAAATTTTGTGGGGGGAGGGGGAGGAACTTTGTGGATTGATTTTTTTTTTTTTTTTTTAATCTCTGGCTTGTAGTTTTTTAAAAATATTAGTGATTGCCGGGCGTGGTAGTGCATGCCTTTAATCCCAGCACTTGGGAGGCAGAGGTAGGCAGATCTCTATGAGTTCAAGGACAGCCTAGTCTACATAGTGAGTTCCAGGACAGCTAGTGCTACAAGGAGACCCTGTCTCAAAAAGACAAAAAAAAAAAAAAAATTAGTGATCAAGGCTAGACATGATAGCACACACCTTTAATCCAAGCATGGGGAGACAGAAGCTGATTTCTGAGATGAGGCCAGCCTTGTCTATATAGCAACTTCCAGGCCAGCTGGGGTTACAAGGAGACCCTGTCTCAAAACAAACAAAAAATAGTGACTATTTGCCTACTGTTCTCTTACATGAGTACTGACATCTAGAAATTTTTTTAAATTTTATTATATGTATGAGTGTATTGCCTGTGTGTGTGTGTGTGTGTGTGTGTGTGTGTGTGTGTGTGTGTGTGTAAGTGTACCTGTGTTATGCAGTACCTGATGAGGTCAGAAGAGGGCGTTGGATCCCCTGGAACTGGAATTACAGATGGTTGTTAGCTGCCATGTGGGTGTGGAGAACCAAACCTGGGTCCTCTGCAAGAGCAGCTAGTGCTCTTAACCACTGAGCCATCTCTCTAGTCCCAACATTTAGAACTTTTTGAAAAAAAACTTAAGACTGAGGTATTTAAAAACTCAAATCTGAAATACTTAGTGAACCTCAAAGTTTTGGATCACCTTTGTAAACTTCCTGTTCCTATAACAAGATTCCTGAGATGATTAACCGATGAAGAGAAAAGACTTGTTTTGGCTCACGGTTCTGAGGTTCCAGTTCACGACAGATTGGCCCCAGAGCTCTGGGCCTGTGATGAGGCAGCACAGCAAGGTGGGAGCAAAGGGAAGTGGAGGGCCAGTGAGATGGCTCAGGCAGGGCTCCCTCTGCTGCTTATGGAGGCGATGGATGGGAGACTGAGGCAGTAGGTCACTGGAGCCCCAGAGTTCAAGACCAGTCTAAGGATACCCCATCTCAAAATGAAACTAGAACCATAAAACTGTGTTTTTTACGTATATTTACCATGTAGGTGAGGCCAGCCTCCAACTTGCAATCCTCCTGCCTCAGCTTCCCACGTTTTTCAATGACCAGCCCAATCACCCAACCCTGCAGGTGCTTTTTAGAAAGGCCTCAAGAATTACTGCTGCTAGTCCATGCATGATCTTGTAGAACACAAGAAATACATGCGATGGGCAGACAGCAGAATAGCCTGATAAAACAGGAGTCCACGCTGCTTGTGACTTCAGCCACTCTGAGGAAAGCGTTCAATTTTTTTTTTTTTTTTGGTCTTTTTTGAGGCGGCGTTTCCCTGTAGCCCCAGCTGGCCTAGAACTTGCTATGTAGACCATGCTGGCCTTGAACTCACAGAGATCCACCTGCCCCTGCCTCCCATGTGCTGAGATTAAAGGCATGTGCCACCATACCCAGCTTAATTCATTTTCTTAATTTTGGCTTTTAGATTAAGTTGTGATCTTGTTTTTGTGCCTTTTTTTTTGCCTCTTTTAAAATTAAAGTTAATATGATTTACTTTATTAATGCTGTTATGATTTTGTTTTAAAGTGCTGTTTTTAAAAACCCACATTCTCTCCTAGGCCCTTATGTTAGCTATGGGATATCATGAGAAGGGCAGAGCTTTCCTGAAAAGAAAAGAGTACGGAATAGCCCTGCCTTGCCTTTTGGACGCTGACAGATATTTCTGGTAGGCACTTTTATATTCGGTGGATACTGGTTTTTAAGGGAGCCCTGCCCCCACCACCCTCCTGCTCATAACTTCAGACTCAGATTTTCACCCTCAGTAGTTGCCATGAGTGAGGGATTATGCCACACAGCAGTTTATGATCATTTCCTCCTTTGATCGCTCTGCCTTGTACAGAAAGTCACATCTGTTTTACCACAGTGTGTGGGCTCTGCCCTGTGGCCAGGGCTGTCTCACTGCTTCCTGCCTCTTAACCAATGGTGTCAATAAAGATGATGATAACTCCTGAGTCACTGCTGTACCTGGGGCTGCCAAATGTGACAGGAAACAAACTACTTGGTTCCTTTCTTGTTATTTCCTTGTTTTTAGAATAACCACAATGAGGTTTTCCTTTGTTCTTCTTTTAAAGTATCAATATTAACTTATGAAACCAGGAATGCTTATGCACTCCTGTAATTTCAGTACTTGGGAGGATGAGGCAGGAGGAACACAGGTTCTAGGCCAGCCTGGACTACATCGAAAGACCCTGGGGGAGGGGTGATGTATATGCACATACTTTTTTTCAATGAGTTTTTAACACATCTGATGGGCTTCAGACATCAGTGCTTAGGTTCTTCTTCTGCCCCTGTGTCTTTTTCCCTGCTGCTGGTGGTCTCTGTAGCCTCTGACTGCTAGAGCCCATAGACATTTGAGAGGCTACAGGGATGTCCTCAGTCAAGGAGCCAGCAGTTTCCCAAGGGTCCTGGTTCTTCTTCAGAAATGGTACTTAGAGTGTGATCCAGGCATGTTGGACCCTTGAAGTAGATTCAGTGCTGGGGAGGGGTCGAGAGTGAACAGACTCAGTGTCGACTTTCTGTTTGTTGAATTCCCAGTACAGTCATCTACCCTTCAAGAAGTAAATGCAAATGATTGATAGTTTGCCAGCTTTAATTTATACAAAGAAGAGATTTATTGTCCCAAATGCTTGGGAGGAGTGAGAAGAAAGTCTGAGGTTCAAGGTCCCCTGCCCTGTCCCTTTCTGCTGCCTTGTTGGTTTTGTCTCTTCTGCAAATGTTGGAGGCTGTGGGTCGAGCCCTTAAAATTGAGGTAAAATATCCATAGTTGTTCCTAACTTATTAGAGAAGATTTCAAATGTACAGAAATAGAAACCACTATTTAGTCATGAACTTCCACATGCTCGGAATTTGGCTTGAGCAGTTGTCAAGTTGTCAGCAGTTGGTCCTGATTCCTTTGTATGGGCCTTCTCAACCTTTTAACCCTGGACAAATCCTTGAAATGATTTTCAGATCTCAGAAGACCCCTGAATAAAAATGACCTTATCATTAGTTCATGATATGTCAACATGTTCAGCAAGTAGCAGATATAGTAGCTAAAAATTACATACAAGGGGCTGGAGAACTGGTTCAGCGGTTAAGAGCACTGACTCCTCTTGCAGAGGGCCTGGGTTCGATTCCTAGAACTCACATGGCGGCTATGAACTGTCCTTAACTCCAGTTCCAGGGGAATCCAAAGCCCTCTTCTGACCTCTGCGGCGTTGCATGACACGGGTGCACTCACATACATGTAGGCGATACACTCATACACATAAAAAAATAAAAATAAATTTTTTAAAAATTATATATAATGGCGGTCTGTCTTCTGAATATATGTAGTCAGCTTCCCTTTACTGTCATCACTTTAGAAGCAGGCTTCTTCTGGCTCATGGTTTCAGAAGTTTTCATGATCAGTTTGGCCCCATTGCCTTGGGCCTATGGTGGCACAGTACATCATGGTGGGAGTAGGTGGCTAAGGAGCCTGTGTGGCTAAGGAGCCTGTTCATCTCATGGTGGCTGGAATACCAAGAGAAAGGGACAGACCTGCCTCCATGGTTCCTTGAAGGGTATACCCCCCAATGGCATGGAACCTTCCAGCCAGGCCATACTTAGGCCCAAGACATTCACATGTGGCCTTTGGGGGATGTTCAGGTCAGACTATAGTAGCAGAGAGAGATGCTTTTCTCTGAGGGTCTGTTTGTTCTGGCCAGTATGTCAGTGCAGTTTCTGTGTGATTCCCATCTCCCCAGAGGAGACCAACTGCATTGGGAGCCCTAGTACTGATAGAGGGAACCCTAGTGTTCTTTTTGTTTTCTGCTTTCCCTGAGTAAGCTAGAATTTGTCTTTTTACTGAGCAACTTGATGCATGATGAATCGTTTCTATTTATTTATTTATATGGTGCTGGGAATCGACCCAGGGCCTTGTACATGCTAGGCAGGTGCTCTACCACTGAGCCTCACCCCAGCCCTCTTTGCCTACTTAAAACCGAAAATGGAGTTTTCAACCAACCAAGATAGAAGAACAGGTCTAGATTGACTCTCATCTGAAGGACTGAATAATGTTGTGAAACGTAAGAATCAGCAATGCAGTAGCTCGAGGAGAGCAAAGGCAGGAGAGCCTCAAATCCCTGAGGGGAGGGGAGGCCACGAGGCTGGAGAGTCAGAGGAGAGAGCCTCTGAGGGTTCCTGTTGAGTCTTCACTGAGAGGAGATTAGGACACACATACCGGGAACTTACCCACTGCTGGCCAGGGACCGTTTGAAAGAAGCAGCACTAACAGTCCTCAGTGCCCACAGAGGGTGGGGCACAGCCTGCCCCACTAGCTGATGTGAGAACTTTGTAGTCACAGGGCAGCAGATGGGGCTTTCTGAAGGGTGTTGGCCTCAGTATGAGCCCAGAGGCTGCCGGGGGTCCACCTCACAGAGCTGCAAAGCTTTCTGTGAACAGTAGGCTGAAGTTACTGTTTTCAAGTGACTTTAATGCATCCCTGATAAAGCTTAGTAATTTAGTAACCCCCAAAATAATGTCCAATTAAAAACTAGCAGACGTGCAAAGAAACAAGAAGATAATCCACAAAGAAATAGAGGAAAACCAGTCAACAAGCAGATCCAGAAGTGACACAGAAAGTAGAATTGGTCATCAAGGACCTTGAACAACAGCTGTATTCCGTATGCTCAAGAAGGCAGAGAAGGGCTTGACAAGGCAGGTTAGATGGTGGCATGGGAGATCTGCAGAAAGCCCACATTGAAACTTAGCTAAAATATACATATGGTATGCACAATGAGAACTGTTGGGTGCAGAGTAGACATGGCAGAAGAGAGGCTTGGCAATGTGAAGTAGGGCAGCAGGAAAGCTTCCAGCGTGACACACAGCCAGGGCTGTCAGGGTGTGGCGGTGGGGTGCCAGAGCTGCTAGAGCCTGGGAAGTCGGGCAGCCTGGTGTGTGCACTTGGGCTCCTGGAAAGAGAGGCTGGTGCTCAGCTCAGAGAAATATATGACAAATTAAGGACTGAATTTGTTCCCAGTTTAATGGGAACTATAACCCTCAGAAGAACCTTCACAAAACCTGAGTACAGAAACATGAAAAACAAAAAAATTTTCCAAGGCACAGACAGCCTACTTCTAAAAACTAACAAAACTAAGAATGACTGTCACCAACTTTTCTTGAGAAAAAGATACTTAAGCTTAGCGTACCTTTTTAAAAGTTATTCCCTTTACATATTTTATGTAAGAGTCTTAAACTCACAAGGTGAGCATAAAAATTCTATTGGAGCCAGGTGTGGTGGTGCACGCCTGTAGTCCCAGCACTTGGGAGGCAGAGGCAGGCGGATCTCTGTGAGTTCAAGGCCAGCCTGGTCTACATAGTGAGTTCCAGGACAGCTGGGGCTACAGAGAGACCCTGTCTCAAAAAGACCAAAAAAAATTCTATTGGACTGGAGAGCTGGCTCAGCTGTTAAGAACACTTGGTACACACCTTTAGTCTCAGGACTTGGGAGGCAGAGGCAGGTGGAGCTCTGTGAGATCAAGGCCAGTCTACATAGTGAGTTCCAGGCCAGCTGGGGCTAGGGAGACCCTATCTCAAAGACAAAAAAGGGGGCTGGAGAGATGGCTCCATGGTGAAGAGCACTGGCTGCTCTTGTAGAGTATCTGGGTTCGATTCCCTGCACCCCCATGGCAGCTAACAACCATGGGGACTGCATGACATGGGCACTGCATGACATGGGTGCACTTAAATACATGTAGGCAATACACTCATATACATAAAAATAAATACTTATTCCAGTGCTTGGGAAGCAGAGGCAGGTGGATCTCTGTGAGATCAAGGCCAGCCTGGTCTACATAGTTCCAGGCCAGTTGGGGCTACATGGAGACCCCGTCTCAAAAAAAAAAAAAAAAAAAAAAAAACCAAACAACTTGGTGCTCTTGCAGAAGACCCATTCAGATTCCTGGTTCCCAGCACTGGCGGCTCACAGCACCTGTAACTCCAGTTCCAAGGAATCTAGTGCTACCTTCTGGCCTGCCACCATGCACACTACATGCATGTGGCACACACATGGACAAGCAGGCGCACACATACGCATAAATAAAAGGTAAAAATTTGCCGGGCATGGTGGTGCATGCCTTTAATCCCAGCACTCGGGAGGTAGAGGCAGGCAGATATCTGTGAGTTCAAGGCCAGCCTGGTCTACATAGTTCCAGGACAACTGGGGCTACAGGGAGACCCTGTCTCAAAAAGATCCCCCCCCCAAAAAAAAACCCAAAAATTTAAACAACCAACTTCGTTAAAATTGACTTTAGTGTTTTTATTTTAATGCTTCAACATGAAAATCTGTTGACATTACTGAATACCAAAACTTCTGAAATTGTGAACCAGATCAGTATTATTAAAAATATACTTTAAAACACTGCCAGATTTAAAAAAAAAAAAACCTTTTTCCCCCAGTTAACACGATCAGGTTTGAATGTAGACCTAATAATTTCAAAACTATAATATGCAGATGTTGATTTCTTGTAACAATGTTCTGCTCTAATAGGAGACCTGTGCTTTGATAAATTTTTGGTTTTGTGTTTTTGCTACACATATATTTGATTCTGAATCATATTTGAACACACTGATTTTTATTTTTAGCTGAGATGAGGCTGTTTCTGTCCTTGTTCTTGATGCTTGTTAAGCATGAGAGCTTGTTCCTATGCCTGAGAAATCAAAGTGTATGGCCAGGTGCCCGCTGCACTACTGTGAGTGGCAGGACACTGTTGCTCCAGAAAGATGAACGTATCAGCAGGCAGATGGGGAAGTCTCCCTTGAGTTAAGAGCAGATCTCTACTCAACAAAGCTCTGCCTCTTGTGTAGATCAAAGTCAGGATTTCAGACCAAGCAGATGTAGAGAAAGTGTCCTCTCCCTGGGCGTGCCTGCACCTGTGTGCATGTGTATATAAGGTGTGGTGTATGCGTTGCCACACATCAAAAAGAATAGAAATATTAAAAGGAAAACACACACACTGCTCTAATACATTTTTCTTGCCCCCCCCTTCCCCTGCCCCCAGGAAACCATTTCTTCACAGGATAACAACAAAATCAGATTCCATTTGATTTGCTTGTGCGAGTGAAGCATGTGTTTATGACCAGGACAGGAAGCTTGGGTACCTGTGCAGTCTTATCTAGCAGAAAACTTTGGAAACAGAACCTTAGAAGTTCATCTGTGTGGAATGTGGAGTGCGTGGTTCCCAGTGGCCTCTTGGGATCTAAATTTACGTTGTGCAGTTTAGCATAATCACAACTGAAAGTCCAGATACATAATCCTGGTGTCTGTCTCTGCACTCTTAGGCCAAGCTGACTTTCTGTTCACAGTCTTCACTACTTTCCCTGGCTCAGCCTGCTCCCTAGCCACAAAGTAGACTTTTGCCTGCCCATGGGCCCTCAAAAGTCAGTTGGACATTTGGCCTTGTGTTTTCCCCAACTGTGTCCCCCAGCTGGAGAGTGACTGGACACAATGTCTTTGTCAGAGCTGTCATCAACTGAGTGTTTTTGGAAGTTTGGAATTTGGGGGTGTCTTTAAAGCCATACCTTTCAGCCTTTCCCACACATTAGAATCACCCAGGGAGTTTTTAGGAATACAACATCCAGGCCCCAGCTCAGAGAGCTCTGTTAGTGTTGTTCTTGCTGGGGTCCCAGCATCAGTATCTCCATCCTCCCCTCAAAGAAAAAAGACTTCTGGTGTCTTGGTGATAGTAACTTATGGCCGGGGCTGGAAGACAGTGTTAAAGCTTGATCCCTATGCTCTGGGCCAGGTGCCACGAGACTGTTTATCTCATTCAAAGGATTCAGGTGATAAACACAGATCCCATCAGTCAGTCCTAGAAAACATACCAAAACTTGAAAGCTCTCCGGTGACCCCCGCAGGGCCTGGGGGGCCGTGCCTCAGCTCTGCAGTGACTTCCTTCTCCTTGCAGTGAGTGCAAAGAGCTGCTGGACACAGTGGACAACTACGCAGTGCTCCAGCTGGACATCGTGTGGTGCTACTTTCGCCTGGAACAGCTGGAATGCCTCGATGATGCAGAGAAAAAGCTGAACTTGGCCCAGAAGTGCTTTAAAAATTGTTACGGGGAAAATCACCAGAGACTGGTCCACATAAAAGTATGTCACTGTGGCTTGTTTTCTGAGCCCATTTCTGGGATGTGTCTGCTCCTGTTCAGATATGGAAGCTGCTGCCAGAGGTGATTTATCTGGACAGCTGTGTGTAATGTGCTTGGTAAACCAGAAGTTTAGCAAAGCTGGCTTCCCTTTTTTTTTGTTCGCTTTGAGATGGTCTCATATAGCAAGGTTGGTTGGCTTTGAACTCTGGATCCTCCTGCCACAGCCTCCTGAGTGCTGAGATTGCAGGTGTGCAACACCATGTCCAGTTTAGTCTGGCTGTTTCTTTGGTGTTTTTTAAGCCAGAGGAACACAGTTTACTAGTCATAGATTTTTACTCCCAATTATGCCGACCATGAGAGAGCCTGTGACTTATGTTCAGTAGCATCCTGGGTATCTGAAGACAAGTGTCCTGACCCCAGTTCTCCCCATGTGAAAGGTGGGCACTGTGCTTGGGAGTCTTCCTTGAGGTTGGCAGTGGCAGTGCTGGGGACATTTGTGCTGTCATTTTGCTCCTGTGGAGACATGCAAATTATGGCTGTGAGCTCTGTCCTCTAATTAGAAATAAGAGTTTTATCATTTCTCCCAATACCTTCAGGGAAATTGTGGGAAAGAGAAGGTGTTGTTTTTAAGACTCTACTTGCTTCAGGGGATCCGAAACTATCACAGTGGAAACGGAGAGGAGGCTCGGGAGTATCTCAACAAGGTAAGAAAGGCAGGTAGAACCATCCTCACCTGTTGCCTCTAGTTTTTGTCAGCTCTATAAGCTCAGGGGGCAGAGAACCTTGCATCTCTCTCCCCTTTTCCCTCTTCCTAACATACATCATAGACTCTTGTGTTGAGGGTACCAGCAAGGTGCTGTAATAGACACTTCAAAATAAGGATTTTAATTGGCTAAAGTTTCTGCCCTGATCTAGTGTCTAGAGGTGAGCAGGCCAGGCCAGGGGAGCAGCTCAGTCCAAGTTGTTCCTGCTGGTGCCTCTGCAACCAGCAGAGGGGGCCAGAGCATCAGAACTGACCTTTATATAAAGTGTGGACAGGAAGTAGAGGCCATCCTGTGACTACATGCTATTGGCATAGCCTTGACCCCCTCCGCCCCC